TTGAGTTTTTGAAATTATTTGTTAGCTTCGTAAACAAAACAGACCCATATTAATTCAAATCTTTATCACCCAAGACTTTCAAGAATTATGAAGTAATATCTCACGTCAACTTTTTTTTAAATTATTGCATGCGTTAAGTATTTGCCCAAAGTTAACAAAAATATTTCTTTGCGTACCTTGCAATTAATATATTGGTCTATTTATCAGTTCTGCATCATATCCGAAAATCAGATTGTGTGTGACACAAGGAAGAGTGAACGTGCAACGTGAAAGACAAGAAGAAATGGCAAGTTTAAAAAAAAAATGTAAAATTTTATTACTAATTACACAGTCCTTCCCTTGAGTTCTTCTGCCTAAAATCTTTATTGCCTTCCCTCAAGATTATTAAATATAAATGATTGAAACTCATAACAAGTTTACCACAATTTAAACTTAAGATAATTATTTAATTATTAAAACATAATCTATATTAAAAAATAACACTTACGAAGTAATAAATATTAACTATTATATACATCATTAATAATTTATTCTTGATCAAAAACACGCTGGATTTTTTATTTTGGAAATCACACAGGCTATAATCAATTATATGACATATATGTATTAACAATACTTAAATTAAAGATTTATTTGAAGAATGCACTTGAAGTATTTACGTCGGAATATGTATTAAAAAACTGCTCATCGCGTTAACGATGTCGGCGTCTTGTCAATGTTGTCTGGCTGATTGGCTGTTTAGGTTACCTATAGTTCTGATTCAGAGTAAATGCAGAGTTTATGTGCCATTTTTGGTTTTCGTATTGGAAATATTTTTTTATTACTATTATATATAAAAACAATCTTGTTCTAGGTTTTATTAAAAAGTGCCTATTTAGATACATTTAAAATTAAGTTAATTAGTATTTACTATAATTGAATATACTAATATTCAAACGGTAAAAAATATACAACTATCCCAATAAATATTATGACAACGCTTGGATTCATTTTGTTTTAACGCCTGTTCGCGGTGGAAACCATGCAAGCTTTTTCTTTGTTCTTACTTAGTTGACAATATAAAAAAAAATTATAATCAATATAAAAAAATAATTTTTTAAAAGACTTAAGTCTTAAATTTATTATTTTTATTCTGCTCTTTCTCGTATAATTTGCCCCTTGTTTCTCATACGGAAATAGTTAGATTTAAATAGCCAAACTGTACCTAACAACCCATGCCTTGAACATATTTTTCTTTTAAAATAATATCGCTTTCTTTATCCGCCGGTCCAGACTCGACCTTGCCCTATTCAACTTAAGTACGTGTTGACAGGCAGGTTATTGAACCCATGTTGCTTCTAGGATGTCGTTTTTTCAAAGATGGGTCCCATATAAACGCGGCCAGAAGTATTTTCAATACTAAAAAAACTGCTATTCAATTCTCTGTTGTGTTTGTCATCTTTTATATATTTACAGTTCTTCAATACGCATGTCAATATCTCTAATCTTCAACATCTCTTTTGTATATTCACAATTTGAACATGTTTGTGTAGGCTTTACAAACCTATGTATGATATCCGCTGCAGTTTGGACAAATTGGTCTGGAGCTACGGTAGTTGTTTGCTATATGGCTGTATCTGCACCATATAAAGAAATAATAGGTTTACATACTGGTAAACAGAGAAAGTGTAGCAATCAAGTGAAAATCTTTTAAGTTCTGTCTGACAATCGAAAGACTTGAATGCACAGTGTCGATCCTAGATTTCATCTCAAAGGTAACAGATCACTGATCAAAAGGTTGTTTGGAGCACTCCAATATAACATTAAAACAATTTTCGTATTTGTTTCGTACTCTTAAGGTTTTTCTTCTCAAAGGCATTTTAATATCATAATATGTATCAGAGATTGTGTTTTTACTGCTTGGTAAAGCTTTGCAGCGATTCTTCTGTATCGCATTTTATTTGAACAATATGGTGTGCAGCCGATTTACTTTTGTGTTAGGCGGCGGTTCGATATTTTCTACTATGCAGTTTTTAGTCAACTTACTAATATTTTGTGTTAACTATAAATGGCCGCTGTTTATTTTTAACCACATTACTAAAATAGGATATTTTATTGCCTATGTATGTGGTTGAATAATTTCTAAACACTCTTTTGTTTTTAATAAGATTTCTTCATTTTTACTCACTAATAGGTTATAACCTAACCCAAACAGCAGATATTTTTGTCATTAACTACTGTTTTATACGCTGTGGTCTTTATTTTGTGGGTTGAATTAATTTTCTAACTTTGTTTGCATTCGCATGACATCTGTTCTACGACTTGTGTGTGAGACAACAAGTGTGTAGGGCACTTTTATTTGACGGTTTAATTTTATGACGTTTGTGTAGTTGTCAATTGTTTGTCTTATTTTTATTAGACGAATCATTGTTGCCAGAGACAAGATCTGAGTTACTGGAGAGAGAAAACAGACACTGTCAGATTAGAGTTGCGTTATTATAACCAACTTGGAAAATAAGTTGGTTATAATAATGGTTTTATAATTCGGAAACTCTATTTATTTATCTAGTAATGCTAAATAAAAACACTAAATCACCACAATACACCAAAACACTTTTACTTTTACACTGGACGCGCGTTTCGCTAACCACGTTAGCATCATCAGCAGATGATTATAAACTCTCAGTGTATTCAAACTCTCAGTTTATAATCATCTGCTGATGATGCTAACATGGTTAGCGAAACGCGCGTCCAGTGTAAAAGTAAAAGTGTTTTGGTGTATTGTGGTGATTTAGTGTTTTTATTTTGCTGTTTAACACCAAAGGTTCCAACCCTCAACTGTAATAGTAATGCTAAAACACTCTATTTTAAAGTCGATTAGAGAAAATAGTATGATTCATTGGCAAGTAATGTAAATATTTACGATCCGGTAAAATTGTGATGTAAGAGGAGGCTTAGCTTGCCTGAGGCGAATCAGTAGTTGTTAGGCCGGCAGGCTGTTGTGTTGTGTTTTGTCATAGAGCTGATATTTGGGGGTTGAGAGGCTTTTGACTATAAATGTTGCAAGTACTGTAAGGCAACGGGTCGTTTGACCGGAAGAAAACCTCTGGTGATGTCTTTCCTTCGAGGTTGGTCTTGAGAGTTTGAGGTCTCCCTTGTCTTCTCGATTGACACGATGCGGCGTTGGGGTAGAGAGACTAGTGAGGTACCCCAATTAGCTTATTCGATTGGGATGCGAATCTGTTTAGCGGCAGAGTTGCGTCCGGGGGAAGACCCTATACTATTTCAGGTGACACTAGCTAGTTGTTGAAGATTATTAACCAATATATAACCGAATGATATTTGAATTAGATGGAAAATATGGAATGGGATATATTGAATAGAATATATCAGTGGCTAGGGGGCGGAGTACCCCCGGGTGAGTCTTACCATTTAACTATTAATTTTATCCAGATCAGTAAATGTTTGTTTTGTTATTTTCATGTACAATGAGAGAGTGCTTGCCAATGACCAACTAAATGGATATTTGAGGTGAATTTGCATTGTGAGACCCGGTTGAGTAAGCCCCAGAAATAAGCGATTTTACAAGTATATAAAAAAGATTAATAAATAATATTTTCTTGCCTTTAACTGTGTATTTTTTTCTAATTTCGAAAAATCGAAAGTAGAGAAAAAAAATAAAAAATATAAAGTAAAACGAAAATTGTTTTGTTTGTCGTAAAGGGGGGAACCAGGCTTCATCAGGTCAAAAGTTGACATTTTCAATTCACGGCCTCTCCTGCCGAATGTACCGGGAATTCCCGGTTCTTTCGGTACTTTCGGGACTTGGTAATAATAACTAAAAACATATGTTTTGTTATGTGCGAAATACTTTTGATAGGTACCTTCTAGCGGTCGAAATCAAACTCTTCTAAATAAGTAGTGATGCTATCGCTTACTGTTACTTCTGAAGTTATTTTGAAGTTCCTATAATGTTTATTAGCAATTATTGAAGTTTAAATATGTTATTTTATTATTTAGTATAATATTGCTGAAAATATTAGTTATAATTTTTTTGTGTTGTTTTTATAGGCATTTGCATCTTTAATTGAAAATGTTAATTTTTTTTCCTAATTTAGTTAAGTTGGTTTCTAGGTTAGTTGATAGTGTATGATGTAATTTTTAAGCTACCTATGTGTTTTCTTTTTTTTTTCGCTTCTGTTCATTATTTGTGTTCATGTTTACTTTCTGATGACTTAATAATTTGACATTATTTTCATTTGAAACTAAATTTTTTATCGGTTTTACTTTTGAGAACCATCCCATGCTTGCTAATTGACGAACTCCACAATCGTTGAACGAAAATATTTTAGTACGGTTCTGAATTTTAGTACGGTTCTCTTTTGAAGTTTCTATAATATTTATTATGTTATGTTTTAATAGATATTTGCATGTTTAATTCAATATTTTAGGGATTTTGTCTCAAATTCAGTTAAGTTGGTTTATGTTGTTTGATGTGAAATTTAAGTTACCTTAGTTACCTATACTTTTTTCTTTACATGTGTTCATGTTATTTTTTTCATGAGTGATTACTTAACAATTAGATATTATATTCATTAAAAATCTCAATTTTTATCCGTTTTACTTTGAAAAACCATCCCTTGCTTTCTGATTGATGAACTGCACCACCATTGAACAGAAATTACTCAGTACCGAAAGTACCAGAAAACCGGGAAATTCCTGTTCCTAAGGTACCGAAATTGCCATTTCCGAAAAACAGCTCCGGTTTTGGAAATCCTAATCCGGACCTATTCATCTCTACGGAATACTACCTTATTCGTTCAAAGGAAATCATTACTACAAGCCCAGGATTGATTCATAAATGTGTATTAAAGTCCTAGATCATCAAAAATTCAAAAATAAAATAAAACCTTCTTCAAAAAATTCAAAAATAAAATAAAACATTTTTAATTTTAAAAGAATTTAATAGACCTATATGCTTATTTCAATATATCACACAAACACAAATTTAAAGAACTCACCTGTATAACATGCAGCAGGCCATATATTTCCCGTGCCTAGGATCGCATTTAACCATCTGGTTGGCTGGTTCGAAACATGCATTGGTAATTTCAGCTACAGTTAACTGTTCGTGGTAGGCCTTTTCCGCCGAGATCACGGGAGCATAAGTGGCAAGGGGAAAATGGATACGAGGATAGGGTACCAAATTTGTCTGGAATTCAGTTAAATCTACGTTGAGAGCACCATCGAATCGCAGGGAAGCAGTAATGGAGGACACAATCTACAAAGATATCGATTTTTTAGATTAAATATATCATACCAGGTAATTGCAAAACTTTGTCTGGTACAGGATATGCTTCACTACATACAGGGTCCGGGAATAGTGCGTCGGGCATCTATTAGAGCTCCTAGAATAAAAAACTTGGGAATTTTGTTTAAAGTGCCAAAGTAAAATATGTACTAAGATGTATTTCAGGAAAATATTTTGATTTCTATAACTAAAAATAGCTGATTTTTTTAAATGGACCACACTGTATATTATTGTATTTCTGGCTTCCTTTCAGATCACTTTATATAATCTTAAGGTATGAGTAAATATATTTCGAAAGTTTCAGAGATATTAATAAATAAAAATGTATACTTTTTAGCCTTTCAAGAAAAAAATATTAAAAATCCAAGAACTGTCCTGAAATCAAAATTATATTAACTATTTACTTTATATGGTCTGTACTTACTTTGCTACAAATATCGTAGTCTTAAATCATACAGGATGTTTAAAATTCTACGCCAAACTTCTAAAATATGAAATAATTTTTCTTCGTTTTTTTTTTAATGGAAAACCCTGTATATTAATTTCTTTTAAGAAATTAATATACAGGGTTTTAATTACAGAATTAATTACTTTTAAAGAAAACAAGGAAAATTATTTTTATTTTAGAAAGTTTGGCGCAGAATTTTGAACATCCTGTGTGATTTATGATTACGATATTTATAGGAAAGTAAGTACCCTACAGACTATCTAAAGTAATACATAACATAGTTTTGATTTCAGGACAGTTCTTGTATTTTTAACATTTTTTTAGAAAGGCTGAAAAAATATATTTTTTATTTATTTATTAATATTTCTGAAACTATCAAAATATATTTACTCATATCTAGAATTATGTAAAGTGGAAAGAATCCAGAAATGCAATGATATATAGCATGTTCCATTTAAAAAAAATCCTCACGATTTGGTCACACTTTTTTGAGCCATCCTGTAGAAGTTAAAATATTTTCCTGCGATATATCTCGGTACAATGTTAGGTTTGCTCTTAAATAAAATTTCCAAGTATTTTATTCTAGAAATTACAGATGACCGACACACTATTGCCGGACCCTGTAGAGCTGTAGATTTTTGATACAAGCTAATAAAATTAAAGCTTCACTTTCAATAAATTTCATTAAATGTAGGGATTTTACATTATTTATAATATTTTAAAAATATTGCGAGCCTGAGCTAAGATTTGTATAACCAAAAATGCACCAAACAAAACTGAAATGCTCTCTTTGGTTTTCACGATAGAAGGTGATTTTGAAAAAGTGCAATTTCAGACATCTTTTATATCTTAGTTGACTTACAACTTATCAAAAAGGTATAAATAATTCTCATATAACTTTTTACAGAAATGCAGCATTTACGGAGTATCATATAAATAACATCCATAAATATTATTCAATAAAAATTATCATGGAAACAGAAAATAATAATTGACTACCATAATTATTTTTATAAAGCAAAGAATATTTCTATTTTTAATGTCATATATCATATATCTATATTAAAGAACTTGAAGTGATTAATTTTATAATGAAGTATTATTCGAAATAACATTATGCATTAGTTTATAAAAATATTACAGATATAAACTTTATTGCACAATAGAATAAATGTGAAAAGTTATCCAATAAATATTGTTTAATTGTTTGTTTTAAATGGTAGTTAAGAAAACATTCAAGAGAATACTGGACGAGCGAACGATACTCAATGCTAATTACGTTTAATTACAACTAATACCTTTCAGGTAACACTGTAAAAGAAAAAATGACAAAGTAACTACAGCGGTACCTTAAAGGATATAAGTAGAAAAACAACGGATGTTCCAAGGAATTGCTCAGTGTCCCGTTGGGCCCATCCGTCTCTGTGCCCAAATATGTACTGTCACACTTTGAATTAGCCGCAATATACATATATTTTACTGTTTAAGGCCCTGTTCCCAGAAGAATCCCTGACTAGTCAGCGCGTTTCTTATTGGTTGAAATGTGTAGAAACCAGACTAACAATCAGGTTTCTATGCATTTTAACAGACCTTAAAGTAACACGATTTTAAATTACGTCCATATCTTATAACTACAAAAAACAGTTCACACGATATGTACCTATACAGTCTTAATGATTTTAGATTTTAGTAGGAATTCGTAAGCAGTTGAAGAAACCAAATTCACAATCAAAGATGATGGATTTATAGAACTGACGTTCCTAATCCTAACCTTTACCTTAACATTCGTTATGTGTTTTAAAAATACACTGCCGGGCCTAAAATTAGGATCACCTACAGTGAATATCGCTTATAACGATATCGGATTTTACGACATATCGGTTATAGCGACGACATATTAAGGTCCCGACCATAGATTTAGTAAGAACAGATATCACATTAGACATTTTAACCCGATCAAACAATCGGAGGTTGACTACGTACTGTAAAAATCAACTGAGATAGAGAAGGCGACATTGCCGCATCTCAAATTTGCGCCTATCTCCTCAGTTTGATTTGCAGAAAAGGTGACTTTAAAACCTTCACCGGATATCAATAAATCTCAATTTCTTAATAAAATTAATAGTTTATTTTTAAAGAAGCATGCGTAATAATATGGTTATTAACCAGAAGATATATGCGTTACTATTAAAGGACATGTTTACTGTTTAATGTGCTGAAACGTCTAGAACTATTGGCAACGTCGCTGCTAGTCTTCCAGAATGAAATGAGCCGTCCGTCCCACCACCCCTCGCGACGGCCCTTGGTCCGTTATAGCGTACTACGTTTAGCTTGCGGTGTGTTTGAAGTCGGAATCAAGACGAAAGTGAACTTTCAGTGTTTTTCGGTGGTTTTTGTTTTTGTTTAACGTACTTTTGAATCTGCGAATTCAGTATGGTACGACAGTGTCAAGTGTGTGGAAAAATAAGCTCAAATTACCCGAATTTGTCTTTTCACAGGTGGGTATTGTTTTCGTCATTGTACATAGGCGTCCCACAAGGGAGCCTCTCACAATCAAAATAATTTCTAATTATATTTGTAATAATTAATCTATTAAAACAAGAACGTAGTAGCCAGTAATTGAATTATAATTCGTCCCAATGACTGTTGTAGATCATAACAAATTTGAATATAAACGTTGCATTTGAAATTTTATTATAAGCCAGAAAGTGACATTTTTTTCTTAAAATTGCGTCATTTCTGGTCATTATATACGATATTCTAAAGGAATTTTGCTCAACAAATAAACAAAGGTGTTACCCGACCTTTTTTACATTTTATTGCTTTATTATATCTGCCCCTTCGGCCTTGTTTAGACAAGTCTGTTGAACTTAATGCAGAGAATAAGCATATATGTAGGGGTTAGGCCTTAATAATTTTTTGCTTCTTGTATTTTGTTTATTTATACATACCCTACCAAGCCTTGAGCTTCATCTACGGTAACGTAGATGAAGCAAACGTAATTCATTATTATGCGACAGAAATCCCATACTGTAGCACACATGTTAATACTTTTAATGAATCAATTTTCAATTTTCTCATTAAATATTGATTTTAGGTATAGGAAGTTATTAATAATACAAGATTAAACAACTATTACACAGTACTTGGCAGGAAGCTATCGATTGCGAAGTAAATCGTTACTAATTACTAATTTTGAAGTTCTTTTTAAGATCAAAAATGGTAAAACTAAAACCTAAACTGTCATTTCAGATTAAACGGGAAGTTCTAAATAATGTTGTCTATTCTAAACAAGAAAAATTTATTTATAAGTTTTATAACATCTCTAATTAAATTTGGACGCAAAGAATATTTCTGTTTGCTGTAGGTAATTTTCTCAGGGAAAATACGAAAATAAAAATGACTTTTTAAGTCAAAAGGACAAGTTATTCCAAAAAAGGACTGTCCTTTTCAAAAAAGGACAGGTGGCAACCCTAGGTATTTCTGGTATGGAAATTTAATGGCAAATCTACAACTTTAGTTTGAAAATATGTTCCGGCCACCTGTGTTTACAAAATGTCTAAATGTGCTTTACCATTGCCTCCATATTCTGAAAAAAATTGAAAGAAATGTCACCAACCACAAACCTAATATAGAACTGTTTCGAAAGCCTGAGTCACCCTGTGAATATTCAAAAGTAACTGAAAGTTTATATAGAAGTAACTGAAAGTTTAAATTGAAAATCGACGTTGGAGCGATTTTCGAAAACCACCTACTAACGTTTCAACATAGGTATATGTGGGATATTAATTATATTATTATATTAGACCTTATAACAAAACTCATCTGACGAAAAAGTGTTAATATAGTATATCAATATGGAGTATAAATTTTACTAATTAATTTACTTTTACTTTACTAATTAAATGCTTTCCAAAAAACGATACGCCACTGGCCATTAGAACAATCGAAATGCTCCTAGTTGCCGGGGTCGGAAATTTTAGACTTCTCTGTCTCTTCTGTCCTTGTTTGATACATTGGAATGTTTGATACACTACCAACGAGTATTTATGAATGAGATGTTCGGTCTATCTTTATAATGTCTTTGGTCCCGACTGAGTTCTATGCTAAATGCATTGAAGACGTGTTGCCTATAACGACTGCGCATATAACGACGCACTTATATAGCGACCAATAATTTAACTTAAATTGGTTCTTAAGTAATTAAGTAATCTGTTATAACAACAAGCGATAACGTATGCAACGACGAATTGTATCCACTGTGTGCCAGGGAACCCTTTTATTGTAGACGGTAAATCCCCGCTTCATGAAAGTCCTAGAAAAATATGAGATTTCTAATGATCTTTAGAAATTAAACATTTTGGAGGCCATTAGTTTTATATCACAAGCTTGGGATCACGTTTCCCAACAGACCATTTCAAGATGTTTTGGTCATGCCGGATTCACCGCCCTGCCGAACGATCACGCAAGTTCTGATGAAGAGGAAAATCTTTCACTTTCAGAGTGGATTAAATTTCAAAGCAAAAGAGACCCCCTGAAGATGAAAACTCACCTGTAGCAAAATGGATCAGTGAATTACCGATCGCTGACTTTGCTACCCAAGAAAACTGGGAAAATTTTGTAGAGGTCGATGAGGTTCTGACAACCACGGATGAATTGACCGACTCAGAAATTTTGGAAGGTCCGCAAGAAAATGAAAAAAGTGATGAAGAGGAGGAGGGAGTGGTGATTGACGAATATCAGCCACCAGCCATAACAGAAGTTTGTTCAGCAATTAAAACTGTCAGACCATTTCTTTGTTTTTAATAATGATAGGGAAGATATTGTAAATCCGACTTTAGTGCACCTAGAAAATATGATTGAAAAGGCGTTCATAAGTTCTAAGAAAATACAAAAACAATTTGTATTGACTGACTTTTTTAAAAAAGTTTAGTTTTTAGTTTATTCATTTTTTTTTAGTTGTTCTGTTTTATGATTAACATTTATTTAAATGTTTAATACATATGTTTGTATACAAATGTACATTAAGTATGTACATACATACATAATATATACATAACATTATATGTATACACATAACATTATATGTATACATACGCACATATGTACATATGTATATTTATGTACATCTGAAGATATTCCATGTTTTTAACTTTTTTTAGTTAGCTTTTTTTAGATAGTTTTTAATGAAAATTTGAACAAATATACATAATCACTTTTTCGTAATAAAAATATATAACCTATTTTGTTACTTTTTTCTCTATAACGACGCCCGGTTATAACGACCGAAATTAAGCGGTCCGTTCAATGTCGTTATAACCGATATTCACTGTACAAATTTGCGATTATTTTTGAAATTTTTGGGGTTTAGAGATTTTAACGAAGTATGACATAGTTTACTCACATAATTCAATGATTTTATCGTGATTTCGCTTGGATAAAAAAGGTTGTTATGGTTTTTTCAAAGGTTTGATAAAAAAGGGCCCCTCTCCGAAATTCCATGTATGGTTTATCTCTCAGTAGTCAAACAACTCTCAACGGTACGAAGAGACTGGTCTGCTCACCCGAAGACCTGGTTCGGGACGAGGAAGGAGTACAAATGTTAGAAATGATCGCTTTCTCATAACTAATGCGTTAAGAAACCGAACGAGTACAGCAGTTTCCCTACGAAATCATTATTAATCAAGTTAGAAATGTAACCATAAGTGAGTGGACAGTTAGGAGGCGACTTATCCTCTCGAACGCTGCTGGATTATCCTCTCGAACCATGGCTACCGCCCCTTTCCCGTGAACACCGAATTGCAAGATTGACTTTTGCACGAGAGCACTTGACTTGGACAATAGAAGATTAGAGCCGCGTATTGTTCTCCGATGAGGCGCGATTTTGTCTGACAGGTTCAGACAGATGTGTGAGAGTATGGCGATGACAAGACGAACGATATGCTGGAGTATGTATAGCCAAACGACTTGCATTTGGAGGAGGCTCAGTTATGGCATGGGGAGGCATATCATTCAGGCTAGCACGATGAGATGAAGAGACGTTAACGGAGACATGTACCGGCCCCAGAAACTTTCAAGAGCTTCGTAATGTACTGGTGCAGAAATGGGAGAATCTTCAGGGTGTAATCCAGAACCTTATCCAAAGCATGCCGCGTCGTTTACAAGCGGTTGTCACAGCTCGAGGAGGAAATACTCGGTATTGAAACCTTGAGATGTTTTTTCTTTAATTTATGAACTATGCATTATTTCAATAAACCGTTAACAAAACTATAACAACTATTTTTATTCAAGCGAAGTCACGATATAATTATTGAATTATGTTAGTAAATTATGCCATACTTCGTAAAAATCTCTAAAACCCAAAAATTTCAAAAATAATCGCAAATTTGGAGGTGACCCTAATTTTATGCCCGGCAGTGTATTAGATCAATCATCTACAATACTTAAAAAAAAATCTTTTAGAATTATCAAAAAATGATTAAAACTCTTTTAATTTTATGCAGTCCATAAATTGCGAGAGTTGCGGAGCTCATTTCGCTAACCATATTAAATTATATAGAAACAATTGATTATCGAATCCTGAAAAAATTGATAGTTTTAATTATCTAATGGCAATTCTAATAGAGTAAGCAAAAAGAGTAGCCACAGCTGCTAGGGCTATCCGGCCGGATGATAGAATTAACTATTTACGGTTGAAGGCTTGGGTCGATTGGAATCAAACTAGGTACGTAGAAAGAGGTACCCGAATGGAGTCTTCAAACCGACAGACAGACAGACGGAAGTAAGAAATTTCACTTCAAATATGCGCATATAATTAATGCACACACAATTTTTTTATTACAATATTATACCTAAAGTAATATCTACAACAAGTGCGAAAATCAGATGGACAACACCCAGTTTAGCTGCAGAAACGGACTCGGAACGCGTGAAGCACTCTTTTCCCTAAATGTAATGACACAGAGGTGTAGAGACATGAATGTAAATGTATTTGCATGCTTCATCGACTATAGTTCGACTGTGTCAATCATCAGAAGATGATCGAAATTCTATGAACAACCGGAGTTGATGAACCTATGTTTCATATCAGAACTTTATTGGCATCAAACGGCGGTAGTTGAGATGAAGCAGTCAACATCGGAAGATATACAAATAAGACGGGGTGTTTGACAGGGTTGCGTCTTGTCTCCGCTTCTGTTTAACCTGTACTCGGAGACTATATTTAGAGAAGCACTGGATCGAATCCCGGGTGGAATCAAGTGCAATGGAATCCCAATAAACAATATCAGATATGCCGATAATACGGTTATAATAGCCAACGATATACAAGAATTGCAAAGCATTATAGATTCCGTAGTCCACTGTAGTAAGATGTTTGGACTGCATCTCAATGTCTCTAAGACCAAACTATTGGTCTTTTCTAAGACTCCAATAAAGGCACACCTGCGTGTCAAGGGACAAACAATCGAACAAATGACCTCAATAAAGTATTTAGGAGCTAACATCAATAGTCAGTGCGACCCGAAAAGAGAAATATTTTCAAGAATTGAGCATGCGAGAAACAACTTCGTAAGAATGAAATCATTTTTTACAAGACGAGACCTCAGTGCGGATCTCAGAACTCGAATGGCCAGATGCTACGTCTTCTCTGTGTTCTATGGATGTGAGAGCTGGACACTCGATTCACAGACCGAAAAGAGAATAGATGCCTTCGAAATGTATGTGTACAGACGGATGCTGCGAATCTCATGGGTACAAAGGATCACCAACGATGACTCCAGCGCATGCAGAATGAAAAAGAGATACTGAACACCATCAAGGAAAGAAAAATGCAATACCTGCGTCATGTGATGAGAGGTGGTAGAGGGCAAAGTGCCAGGGAAAAGATCAGTAGGAAGACGCCGGAACTCATGGCTAAAGGATTTAAGAAGATGGTTTGAACGCTCGTCTGCGGAAATCTTCCGGGCTGCAGATTACAATTGAATTTCTTTCCGGAGCTACAATTGCCATTTGGATCGCCAACCTTCGGCAGGAGAGGGCGTGATAAGAAGAAGAAGAATATATTAATATTTCTTCAGGTGTACTACTTTGTCAGTGCATGTAATAAATTAAACTTAATCTATAAATATTTACCTGGCCAATAAGTCTGTTTAAATTCGTATATGTCGGACGTTCAATATCGAGATTTCTTCTACAAATATCATAAATGGCCTCGTTGTCGACCATAAAGGCACAATCAGAATGTTCTAAGGTTGTATGGGTTGTTAATATAGAATTATACGGTTCAACAACGGCAGTGGATACCTAAAAAAGTAAAATAAGCACAAATATACTATGCTAACCCATGGTACAAAGAATACAAGGTATGATCGATAGCGGCTCCAATTTCGTTCAGTTCGCGCATACCACCTGTGACGTCACTAGGAAAACAATGAATAAATAAAAAATAAAGAAAGTTGACAGGAGATCTGTATTTTTTGGGGTTATGGTTAAGAATTGTTTATTTTTAAGACTTTTTAGTTCGTTTAATTTAATAATTACTAAAACCAGCAGTTCCAAAAATATATTTAAAAATAATAATTATCTATTAACATGGATTTGGACGATAATAGGTAAGAATACTAAATTTATTTCTATATTCGGTATAAAATTGTTTATTAGGTTTTTAGTTTGCGATGTTTATGGTAAATAATTTTCATGTTCATTGCCTCTGAATTCACATGAGGACAGAGATGAGGATATCTATGGAAAAGTAACCACAAGAGGAATTGTTACATCATTTAAAAAATGTTGGAAAGTTTATTGTTTCCCATCGAACAGTAGAAAATGCCAATGCAGATGAATGTATTGTAATTGTGATAGAATTAATTCCAAGGGTGAAGTTTATTATAATTAGTGACCTGTGCTTCTTTTTATATGTAGATGTTTCAGGTTTTGAAAATAAATCGGTTAAACGAAACCCAAAATTTAGAGGAAGATGCCCATCAAGGATTATATAGCTCCAATTTCCTTTAATGGTAGGCAATTATTCAATGCAAATTAACTTTTTAAGTGACTGAAATGTTAAATAGTTTACAATATGGTATATCACTAAAAATATATTTTACTTTTAGGTACAATTAGGGCCCGATACATTTCAAAATGTAGAATATTATTTTATATTAAATGAGGTATTGTACCAACAATCAATTTATATTAATATCGGAGATTAAAAAATCACAGAATAAATAGTTCTTTTTTTTATACTGCAAAAATGCAAAAATAAACTATAGAATACAACAGTATTTAAAAAAATAAATAAAAAGTGATGTCCCGGCCGAGATTTGAACTCCGGTCTCTCGCTTCCTAGCCCGACTCCTTGTGCACTGCTCCACAGTAACTTGCTTAGCGATAATTCAATGACGGTATATAAACAAAAAAACAGGTTTATAACAATATCTTGACGATTTGAACTGGCGCGCGAGGCGTGCTGACCAATAGCGCCTGTTATCACCTGTGACGTAGCAACCAACCTGCGCAATATCATACCTTGTATTCTTTGTACCATGATGCTAACCAATTGCTACTTTTTGCTGGTTATATTTTTTCCTTCTTGTTTGAATATATTTATATATAAAAATAAGAAGAAAATAAGTATTCTCTATCCGTTTTAAGTTTATAATTTTGAAACCGACAAATAAAGTATTTTATAGTAACAATAAATGTTAACACTTAACTTAAAATTAGGTACCATTTAGGGCTTATGTTTTCCAAATTAAAAAAACTCTGTTGGCCGAGCATTAAAAATTGAGAAAATAACAAGAATTATAAATCTTAATGGAAAAAATAAAATATCACAAAAGTTAAAGTGTAATCATATTCATAATGAAAGGATATGTTTTCATGTTCACTCAGATATAGGAATCTTAATCAGATACAGGAATAATAATGTTTTTTATAAACATAATCTCTTTTTATTAAATTATAGCTAGCGATGTAAATTTTGCTTAAGGTCTAGTATCTAATTTTTCATCATATACTTAATACAGGTATTATAAAAAAGATGTAACATACATCTTAATTAACTAGAAATGGAAAATGTAACTTTAGCAACATCGATAGAATCAAAAAATATAGTACTTACTTGTGGGGCGGGATAGATAGAAAATTCTAGTTTTGATTTTTTCCCATAATCAACACTGAGCCTTTCCATTAACAAACTGGTAAATCCAGATCCAGTTCCACCTCCAAAGGAATGGAATACCAAGAAACCCTAGAATAAGAAAAAATCATATAACTCCTTAAAAGTTTGATATATTTTATTTATAATCTTCAATATATTTTGTTCTAGTTGACCGATTTTGATGATTTTTAATCAATTTGTAGCAAAATTATTTTTCGTTTTGAGCGTCGTTTCAAAATTCAAAAAAAATTCAAATTAATATTAGTCTTTATCCCTATTATATGAGGAAAAACAAACTGTTATTATTTTAGCAAAAGTTTGTAACACTCTGTGCAAAGTAAGGATTTTAAAACAATTTTATCATGAAGCTGCATTTTTCCTCGTCAGTTTGTTTTTTGGTTTACCTCAATAGCTTTGCTTTTATTGGAAATACTCACTTTTGAAGAAAACAGTAACGATTTACCGCATTTTTAGCATTAAGAGCATTCCTTTGCTTTTTGTCCTCAACAATAAAATATTAAATAGAGCTTATTGTATTTCTAATGTGACTATCATAGAAGAGTCTTAATATTATTATTGTTTATTGGCACCGTTGGCAGTTACGCAGGAGAGATGGTTTTAAGTCCACAAGTAGATCGCTACCAAATCGCTATCAACCTCTACCATATTCAAGTAAAGCAAAAACAATTTCTGCTTAAGTAACTCCCAACAAACAATATGTGAAATTGCAATAACAGTGACATTAGAAAAAGAATAAACTCCATTTCATAGATGTGTTGATGAGGGACGAAAGCAAAGCCATGTTTTTAATGTTAGCTCCAATAATATATATAATTACCCCTCCAATAAAAATAAAGCTATTGTGATGAATCAAAAAACAGATTTTCGAGAAAAAAATTACAAAAAAAATTCCACAAGGTTTCGCCAAAATAACTTTTTGCTCTCCCTCGTATAATAGAACGATAGGGACTTTTTTAATTTTCAGTTTGAAAAGAGGCTAAAAGCAAAGAATATTATAGTTAACATAGTCGTAGTAGAATTATCTTTGCTAAAAATCAAATACAGACGCGACAGATTGCTTAAAAAAATAATCAAATTCGACCCACTAAAAATTACATAAAAATTTAAGCTACACATTCTATTCTAACGGTGAGTGAAATTTGAATATTTTGTATTTTTTTTACTTAACGTGATATAATAGATTGTGTATCTCAAGAGTCGGCACATTGGTTAGGTGGAAATGGCACCTAAGCTTAGGAATCGGCAAGGCCGGGACTGTGGTTCCAGTGAAGAAAAAACAAACAACATCCACAAAGGGGCGATCATCACGGTCTTTGTGCCGAGGAGCTAAGGGAAAGACACCACCTACCTGCTGAGCCTTATCCAGGCTCAGAACTCCAATGTAAGGACATCGAGGGAGGAGGGTCATGGTCAAATCCTCAGGTTGGGAATTAACCTTAAATCCAAGGAGGCAATAAAGAAAGAGTGATATATGCTCCATTATTGTATTATATTCCTCTATTATTCTATTATTATATTGTATTCGGGACAACAACGGTATCAGGTCTAAGGAAACTCCAAGTTAAAAAGATGAAGAAAATGGAGACAGATTGATTCTTCAGCCTCCACCTCACGCGTACCTCAGCCGGAGACAAGCTCCTCGACTGTGTAGGGCACAGAGAGCCAAACGCCAACCGTTGAAGGGCATATATCTTCGGAGGAAGAATATCTCTTGTCAGAGAAGGATGGGAAATACCCTGTCCCCTCTAGGAGAAATACCCTGTATCCCCTTACAGGAAATCCTCATGTATGATGGGTTATAGACTGTAAGATTAGTTATAACTCAAGGAAGGGGGACACAATAGATCCTTAAGGTCGCAGTGATTAACCCCTCCTCCTCCCCTTCCACTCATTCTACATATTGTGATGCAAATTTTTGATTATTGCAGTTGATGACAATATCACTACTGCATGGTACCAAACGACCGAAATGAAAAAAAGCATATTAACATCAAAGAATATTAATCATTTAACTCATAATTATCCTACATAAATTTTGCAGTCGCTCCGCTAAATAGAACAGAAATCATCACTAATCCCGATTTCGAAAACTATATACATACAGGGTGGCCCATTAGACCCATTCTGTGGCCCCATTATTACAATATCGTCGTTATTAGCAAAGATATGAAAGAAAGTTTTATATAAATGTTTGCATGGTTTTTAAAGGTATAATCTACCATCCTAAACATATTTTGTTTTATATAGGATGTAACCAAAAAAAGTAATGACAAATATAGAATTTTATTCTGAATCGAATCCTATACAGGAAATGGAGGTAGCGATTTAAAACAATTAGGATTGATTGACGTATTCAGTTGTTTTCTGTCACTTTCTGTTTTGCCGGAAATGACTACAACTTTTGATTTTTAAATAGCACCCTCGTTATATTTTTACTTCGTTAGATAGAAAATGACATTCTGAATAGAATGACATATCATATGTCAACTTTTGATATTTTTGCTTAAAACAATATTGAATTTCAAATTTCAATCTCGAGTGCCATGGCTGTGTTAAAAACACAAATTTTTAATCAAGGAGCCTTGGAAAAATATATATGATTGTCTAATGTTATTGGTGTCTTTTCCTGGCTGGTTAAAAGATGCCCAAATCGTATTTTTAATCATATCACAATTTTTTCAAATGGAACGGGGGTGGCTCATTAGCATATTTGGAAAAGCATTTTTTACGAATAATTTGGTACCACACACATGGTATTTCGAGTCAAATTGTCGGTATGAATCGCATGTTGCAATTTCTAATAAACCATATTCGAAAATGTCGAAGTTGACATATGATATGTCATTCTATTCAGAATTCAGAGTATACTCCTAATTTATGTCATATATTAACATACCAAATATCAATTTTTTATCTCAAAAAATAAAAAAGTTATAGGGGTGAGCCATTTTTGAGACGCACCCGGTATAGTAAACACAAACTATAAAAAATTACTTATTATATTGGAAAAAATTGATTGGAATGCATCCCTGTTAGGAACAGGAAATGATCTAACAAAGACTAATCTTGCTAGGATATCCCGTTATTACAATAAAATCCAAATTAAATCTAATTACATGGTTATGCAAGGATGAAATTAAAAAGTAATGACACTATCATTGTATTGTGGGCTATTTATGGTCTTTTCTTCCGATGTAAGATTATTATCCAATGTGGGCACTTGAACTGAAACTCGCTCATGGCAAATTTGTAGAGGTAGAGTTAACAACAGGAAAATGTATAGATTAACAAGGTACGATGTCGTATCATCATGTATAATTTAAGAGCAAGTAGATTTTAATTGGTTAATGTAACATATCATTTTTTTATCAGACATAATGATGGTATTGTGCAATATTTAAATGCATTCTGAAATGTTCACTATATTTTTTTATTGATAATTTAGTGCTATATAAGAGTAAACATGAACATAAGTATTTTTATTTTAATATAAATAAGCTGGGATTCAAGAATTTTAACTTATTACAGCAAAACTATCAGTGGTACCATACAGAAAGAAAAAAACGAAGCCGTTTTAAATAGAGAAAAAACTTCAGTGTAGGTGCTTATTTTGACTTATAAAACAAAAAGCTTCAAATCAGAATAAAATTACTTTTTTATATATAATATATACTTTAGTACAAAATATAGTTTTTGGATATAGAGAAAAATGTATAATGTATTCAATTCACAACTAAATATACGATCATAAAAACACGGAACCAAAGACGGCTGGGAATGACAAACTATAATAATTTTGGCGTTGTCAAGCCCTAGACGTTATTAATAACTAACTAAAATAGATGGAGATTTTGGACACAGCAATGTTTCTTTGCAATATATTCCCAAGAATTAAAAAAATATATAAAATGACAGCCATCTTCATAATCAAGCCAACAATAACGCCGCTTCTTTTGATCGTATATGGTCACCGAATATTAACTAAAGACCTTTACACTATATACTATTTAGTGTTTTTTAGACATCTTCAGTTTTTTTGGTAGCAATTATTAACCCAACTATCGACTAAGCGCATAAATAAAAAAAAATAATAAAAATACTGTGTGTCTGCGAAATATGTTTGAGAGAATGGATATCTATATCTAATAATATGTATATCGTTACAAGTGTGGCTACGATCCACAAAATGTGGGTCAGCTGCGATTTGCGAGATACACTTTCGGGTGGGCATTCTCCTCATAGATTGTTCATCTCAAGAATTGGCGGATTAGTTGGTGGAAACGTCACCTAACCTTAAGATTTAGCAGGGGCCAGGATTGATTGCATTGAAAGGAGAAAACATCCTTAAAGAGGCATCAATCACTGTCTTTCTGCCGAGGAGCAATTGGAAAGACACCACCTACCTGTTGAACCTTATCAGTTGTCGAGTCATCAAATTGAGGGAGGAGGGCCATGGTCAGGTCCTCACAATAGAAATTGATCTCAAATCCAAGAAGGCAATAGAGAAAGAGGGCTATATTATCTATTATAGATTCTAGACAACACCGGTATCAGGTCTAAGGGGAGACCAAGTTAAAGAGGTGGGGAAAATGACGAAAGAAGAGATGGAGAAAAAAACAGTGAAACAAAACATGCAGAATGAGTGGCAAGAAGCAGCTCACAATAAAACACAATGGAGAAGAATTGTAAACTCAGTTAACAGAGACAACCAAAAAGTAAAGAGGCAACAAAGTAATGAGGTTTTTGAATGTACACAGAAAAACTCATGATAGAAAACGTCTTGCGTGACCATCTTCTGATGCGTGTCAAATGTGTCAAATACTCGTAAGCGAGTGCAGTAGTAGTAGGAGAAAATGGAGACAGATCCTCCAGCCTTCACCGCACGGATACCTCAGCTGGAAACAAGCTCCTTGACTGTGAAGGAGGACCAAACCCCAACCGGGGAAGGGTGTATACCCTCAGAGGAAGAACATCTGTTATCAAAGGAGGATGGGAACCTGCCCCCCTCCTATAACAGGAAAATCCCCATGTATGATGGGTTACAGACTGTATGATGATGAACTCAAGAA